AAGATTGAGATAAGGTTAGCGTTTTGGTTTTTATTACCGAAAATAGATCAGGTTTGGGTAAACAGTTCAACTCACAATCAAATTAAAAAAAAAAGTGCCCGCATAAACAAAATTATGGGGGCTCTTAATAAAAAACCAGCCAATTAAGCGAAAGTCCACATAATTGAGCACACGGCTCAAATCCTGCGCATTTTTACCCCGCTTCCACTTAAGCAGCGCTTAAACCTTTTTTTTAAAACACTAGTTATATTCACCACCTATCAATTCCTCTATAATAATGGGAGGATCCAAGATTCACTATTCATGCTACAGTAAATCATTAATGTAGCAGTAGCATGATCTTGTAGCATTTTTTTTAAATGTTACTGTTGCACTTTCTTTTAAAAATGTTACTGTGGCACTTACAAAAACTATAATTAAATAGAGAATTACGGTAGCGGAAATAAAAAATGGAGGATGTGCTTTGCACGGGGTGCACACTAGTTAGAACACAATATGAGAATATAAGTCCTTATTGGTGCAGTACCTAGACTTCGGACTCCCACCACTCTTCTTTTATAAAGTATAGATAAAGAGTGGTAATTGGAGTGCAATAGAGTGGGCATTGGAGTTCATTCATCATCACCTAAAGAGGTCCTTCCTCTTGTGTTCAGTGACTATGTGGGTAGCAAGGTTATTGATAGCGGATCGCGTCGCGTCGCGGCTAGGTACCGCTAAGGCTATTGCGCGCTATTGCGGCGAAATAGCGGCAAATAGCGCACAGTCAAATAGCGGACAAATTTAAATATATGTAAATATCCTAAATAATAAGAAAATTCATAAAAAATCTAAAAATTCTACAAATGCATACTTAATGCCTAAACATGAAGTAGATGTGTACAAGAACAAGAACAAATAACAAGAACAAATAAATAAACAATAACAATATAAGTACTATAACGGTAGAACTTTATTTCTTCACTCTTTATTCATACAATAACAATATAAAGTACTATAACAGTAGAACTTTATTTCTTCAACTCTTTATTCATACAATAAATAAACATGTTATATTTCTTCATTCATTCAATAACTCAATAAGTTATAAATTTATAATGATTTGATTGATTTCAAATGTTGATTATACAGGTTTTCTGGAAGTTGGAAATCTCAAGGGCACTAATCATTTCGGTGCAGCTGCTGGTTATGAAGATCAACCCGTTTATCGCATACATATTAATTTGTTGTAAATTTCTTGTATTATTAGTAAATAACAATTGATAAGCTTGTTGTATGAGTATGAATGAAACTATGAAAAAAATCAAGAAATATAGCATCATTGATTCTCGAAATACTGCAGTCCTGAACGTGATGGAAACACTATTTATGGAACACATATTAATTTGTTGTAAATTATTTCACGTATATTTTCATGTAATCATGTGATTAAAGGTTAAACATCTGTAAATATCAAACAAGAGTCCAAGACAGGTGTGCTAACGTGCCATGTCTAATAAAGATGGAAACACCATTTATTATTGACCTTCTTCAGAGTTATTCTTGTTTATTATCTAATATAGGTAAAGGAACAGAAAAATTAGTTATGCAACTATGCAAGTTGGAGAAGGCAATTCAGGCACAAAAGGAATGTGAGATGAGGTAGGAATTCCCAAAATTTGGACCTAGTCCCATAATTTTATACATTTTCCTTTGTGGCAGATCTAGCCAACAGAGATGGACGCCGGAGCCTGGAGCCTGGAGTGGAGATGATGACGTCGATGGACTCCGGAGCCTGGAGCCTGGAGTGGAGATGATGATGTCGAAGGAGCCTAGAGCGGAGAAGATGGGAGCGGAGCTGCGGAGTGCGAAGATGATGAAGTCGAACCGTCGAAGGAGCCTGGAGCGGAGAAGATGGGAGCGGAGCTGCGGAGTGCGGAGATGATGAAGTCGAACTGTCGAAGGAGCTGGAGCGGAGAAGATGAAAGGCGGCTAGGGTTCGGGAGTGAACTGAGGGATTCGTCGCTTTTTTAGCCTCTTTTAACAAGCGGGTTCGGGTTCGGGTCGGGTTTGGGGGAAAAAATCAAAACACATTTGATAGCGGGTTAGCGGTTTTAGCGGGTTTGGCCGCTTTTATCCGCTTTTGGCCGCTTTTATCCGCTATTGAGCGCTTTTACGCGCTATTCGAGCGCTTCGCGGTTTTTTCCGCTAAATCCCGCCGCGAACCCCCTACGCATAGCGCTGAGGGGCCGCGATCCGCTATAGCCCCGCTATTGCCCCGCTATTGGCCGCTATTTACAACACTGGTGGGTAGCCAAATATCTCAAAGTGTGCATGAAATTGATGAATGTGTAAGATCACGTCTCTGATAAGTATAGAAGAAATTATATCATTGTCAACACCGGAAGGTTCAAATCTTTTGGACCATAGAATATAAAATATATTTATTCTGCTCGATTGCACAACAAGGTCTAATCAGTTGTCAGACTTTTCATACATCGGTCATATACTAGATCTCAAATCATGACAACCACATAGCCCAAATTTCATAAACAACTAAACATGTTTAGCATTATTTGCTAGTCCTTGAACAATAACAACGATGTCAATAAAATTAGCATAAAATCAGTATTTTAGCTTTTGAGTTCGCAAGAAACATGACCAAAGCTGTCTATCTCAAGACATTAGACAGAAAATAGTGTTGGTGGCAAAAGAATTGAACTCCCTTGAGAATCTTCAAGTTCCTTTTCAGGGGCACGGTGTATAATATTTTAAAGGCACGAACCAACAACCCCCACTCCCACCCCCCTCCAAAAAAAATCTCAGGAAGAATAAGACTGGTGTATTCTTGGCTTTGTCAACATGTACTGCAAATTGTTGTAGGGGATGATCAGATATCCATATGTGTGCATGCATGTGACACAGATAAACAGGCATAAGCCCCAAAATGCAAATGCTAGTCATGCACAAAGATCAGTATCTTTTAATTAACAGAAATAAAACTCAGATTACAGCCACAGGATTCCACTAATGCTATTTAAATGGACCCAGAATCTGTAATATATTTACATGCACCGAAGACTATTGATGAAGGTAATTCTGGAATCAGCAAATAACAGCTTCCTTTTAATTTTCTTTTCATAATCATGACAAAGCCTAAAATGGATGTGAGAATATAACAAAAACATAAGGAACATAGATGAGAAATGTTTTTTCACAAAAAACTTGAAAGTAAAAAATAAAAAAAATAGAACCATAGTACATGAAAAAAAAAAATTAAGTGCAGCAAGGAACTGAACCATGAAGAAGTTAAAAGCTACTGCAGTTATTCTGTTAAGCCCTCCTTCAATGGTAAAAAGAAAATTATATCCATTTTGCACAAGGGAAAGGGCAAGACAAGATAATGCAAGCTACTGCAGATTTATCATGAGAAATACTGACAACACAAATGAACCTAGAAAAGCTTCAAGATTATGTTGCTAAAAGGTAAACCTGGGAGGATAACCATTTGTTGCTAAAAGGTAAAGTCAACGAAACAACATTCTAATTTAGTATGTGATCCTACCAACGCACGAAGGATGCAAGAATAATAGCTTATACTGAAAGGAAAAGTTTGGGCCCTACCCAGATTTGTTTTTTTAGACTTCCGTGGTAGTCCTTTACGTTTACCACCATCACTGTCAAAGCTGCTCCCGCTTGAATCATCATTATCATCACCAACCTCTGATATCCTTCAGAGAAAAAAGGTTTGAAAATTGCAAAAAAATTAAGATAGACCATAAAAATTAACATGCTAAAATATCTGTGCAGGCAATCATGTTAACAACTTGTAGAGAGCAGCACACTTATTGATTCAACAAACAACATGAAGTCCTTCAGTAATTTCTAAGATAATAATAGTCAAAAAATTACTTTTGCCAAATATTATGGGGGGAAAAGAGACCATGGCTAACAAAGGCACTAGCATAAACATGTAATCTTGCAGCTAAAACAAAAACAGAAGTTAAACCTACACACATGCACATGCATCTGGCTTGATCCACCAATATGAACAACCAAAACCAATTTTCCAATGTATATACAAAAGCACTGTTAGTGTTCAAAAAAACAGGGTTAGACAAGCCTGAAACTACAACCAAGCAGAACGACAATATGTATCTTCAAGAAGATTGCTTAGTTGAAGAGAATTCACAGATCAATTAGTAAAATAAATACAGTGCAGTACATAGAAACGGTAGACATAGTACTTTATTCATGATTTCCTAATATATTGATCTAAAGGAGCATTAACTCTAATTAAAAAAAATAGTACTACCAATCAATTATTTTACTAAAAGGACCAAAAAGGACGATATGACAATAGGAAGTAATACTGTAGCTTTCTTTTTCTATGCAAGTAATGAAAAGGGGGTATATACATTAAACCAGATTTAAGGTTATAAGCAAACCTCTTTGATTTGCGTCTTGATTTTTTGTCACGCCTTCTACGTCTTTTCTCGCGCCTTGGGTCCCTTTTCCGTTTTCCGTGCTTGTATTTATCCCTCTTGGAATATTTCTTTCTCCTCCTATGCCTATCATCACTAGAGCTACTGATATCAGATGATAATGATGATGATGAATATGAATCAGAATCACTATCAGTCTCTGAAGATTCAGTGTCAGTATCTGATGAGCTATCTGATTCAGATGAATAATATGTTCTTCGCTTCTTCTTTTTTCGGCCTTTAGAAGATTTCTTATGACGCCCCTTTTGCCGTGCTTCATCAATATCTGTATCTGTATCAGAACCGACACCTTTTCCTGATTTTGATTTACTAGATTTCCTTTTATCTGCAAATGTAACACAAGGGATAATCATGACTCCAGTGTCTTAAAAGTTAGAAAAATATCATATAAGACCACAAGAACATTTTATGTTCACAGGTACAACAACAGTTAAGCTAATTCATCCTTCTGAAGTACAGGTACAGCATACCTTGCTTTTTTGTATCCTGAAGCTCACCACAGTCAACAATTTTCACAGGAACAACAGGTTTGGTATCATTAACTTCAACCTGATCTATATTCTTCAAAGTGTCTTGTCCTAGTATAAGTTTCCCAAAAACAACATGCTTCCTGTAAGATAAAACACATGCTTAATGAAGAAGTGTAATTCTAATGAAACTTAAGATTAAAACATAATAACATTAGAATCATCTGTAGTCGAATGGATCACCATCCTACGTATTCATGGGAAATTAGATTGCCCCTCGTGCTCACTAGAACACGAAGTTATCGATAGCGGATAGCGTCGCGTAGCAATGATGCATCACTAAGGCTATCTAGGGCTATTGTGGCAAAATAGTGGCAAGAAGCGCAAAGTCAAAACGCAGTCTAATTTAAATATGTACAAATATTATAAAAAAGAAAATTTAGAAAAATCTAAAAATGCATATTTGATGATTTAAAGAGATCCTAAGCATGAAAATGAACATGTAACTATCACATAATATCAAAGAGAACTGGAGTAGTCGTCCAAGAGTTGTCGTCTTCAAGAAGATGAGGTGATCAGTGAGAGGACTGCAATAGGAGTTCACAACGAGAGGAGGTGAGAGGTGGCGTTGTGGCGGTGAGAGGAGGTCTTGAGGAAAGTGCCGGAGGCTACAGGAGACAGCATGGAGATGCTAGAAGTCACAGGAGGCAGCGGGATGCGATAGAAGGCAGCGACCTTGCGGGCACTAGTAGGGTTTAATTAAAAAAATAAACCTAAAACGCTTTTAAATAGTAGTCAAAAAGCAGATTTTATTCGCAATCGCCCGCTATTTACTGCTAGGGCACGCTATTGGCCGCTTTTACGAGCGGAAAGCACATATTGCGCAATATGTTAGCGTGGTTGGGCGATATTGTTTTGGAAGGGGCCGCTGACGTTATTAGTGCCGCTATTGCGGTGCTATTTGCCGCTATTTATAACAGTACTAGAACAGCACACTGAGAAGAATAATATGTTTCTCAGCTCACTACTCAGCTAAGTATCCATTAGACAACTAACAAGTCAAACAGGGGCAATCATTGGCTTTTCAATTTGCAGTCTAACCGACTGGCAACAGCAATATGCTTTACAGTGAATTTGCAAAGCAAATCCTAACATTTTTATGGGTATATTGGGCATCCAAACCCGTGAAACTAGCTTGGTGCCATCCATTCCCAGATAGCTGGCTGGTGTCTTTTGGCACCTGCAGGCAACACAATTTTCCATCTAGCAGTATACTAGTACAAATGAATACATGCACGTCTGGAAAATTCCAATAACATTTGGTTAAACTTCATATGATCTAAGTGCAATAGATCCTAAAACTGACCTGTCAAGGTAAGGAGCAGCTTTGAAGGTGATAAAAAATTGAGAACCATTGCCATCAGGTCCAGCATTCGCCATTGACAGAAGACCAGGGCCATCATGGTGTAGCTTAAAATTTTCATCTGAAACAATAAAAAGTTGAGACAAGGTCATCCAGAATGATCAATATTACCCCATCTTTGTATATTAAAGAAAACAACAGAACCACACAAAAGATTATGCCACAAAAAAGCTGTGCAAAACTACTTTACTACTTTATGCTGAAACTTCAATTTTGTCAACGCCCTCAGGGCTTCTAATTAAATTGGCACTCCTACAACTTTATCTAAACAAAAATTTCCAATATTGGCATGTGAAAAAAGATAATCTTGAAGGTCATAAGGTCCCCAGGCTAACATAAAGGAATTATTGCCACAAAACCAGCAATGAATATAACATAAACAGTAACAACGAAAGGAACTCCAAACATGAAAATGTTAAGAAACTTTAAGGAAACATATTAGCTCAAGTCTTACAAAAAACATGTCTGAACACTAATAACTAATCATTATTCTTCGAAACAGGTGACTGGGAATATCAGCTCATTTCATACTTCAAAATATCTACTTATGTTAAGCTAGTTTTGTTTCCATCCTTCCAAACAAACATTACCAGTTTATTATTCTAAACGAACTTCAGAAGAAGTTTTAAGAATTAGACTAAGAGTGAAAAAGATACCGCTAAAATATCCAAGATTCACTTCATAAATGTATGAAAAGAGGGGATGGGGGGTTCCTTCCTTCTCCTTTCTTGTTCTCTTAAGCCCCCATAGGATAACAAACAGAGTTTGAGATTTTAATTGTCTAGTTGTAACATTCAGGATGTGGTGCAAATAGCGCTTGGATGATACTAGAGAGTTACAATTCACCGGTGAGTTGCAATATAAACATTACCCTGTTACAATTCACCGGTCATCAATTCATCAATTGAAAGATGACCCGATTCAGCAATAGGATAGTAGCTTCATCTTAAAAATTCAAAGATACCATGCTGAGAGCTAAAAAAGTACTATGCAATTGAAAACCACATAACTCGATCCAAACTACAGTATGAGTTCATGATTTAAAGCTTAAAAATATATGTAAGCAATGTATTACAATGATTCTTAATTCTGAGAATCAGAAATCAACATGAAATTGCAATACCAAACAAATAAACATTTTATACCAGTCATCTGATCCAGCCCTTGGTTCATTGATTCAAGCATATCAAATCCCCAAGTGTCAAACTCACTCCCAGATCAGTATCATAGAGCCATATTAAATTTTGGCTTATTTTCACTGTGGTACGCCAAAAGTTTACACACATTGCCACTTTGATACCCCAAAATATCTTTTTTTACACTTTGATACCCCAAACTTTCAATCCCATTTCATTTTGCTAGTCAAAGTATTTCATTAACACTTCACTACTCCAAAGTTCCAATATCTTTTCACTTTATAATCACTGTCTAGATCACCCTTGGATTTCTATTAAATGTGTATCACAAGCTTAACAACAAGGTAAAACAAATCTAATGCATCGCACGCTAAGGATATTAGTGTTATCATTGCACGATGCACAATGTGGGGCGTAAAGTACATGCACATGCGCAAGACGCAATGCAATTCATGCGCCTGAGTGAAACGAGGTGCACACAACACATGTAATTTTTCAAGATAGATAATCAAGCATGAAAGAACATGTTTATGAATTTCCACATAAAAATGTCAAGATAAATGATATCGACTATCAAACAAAAAATAAGGTTATAATTGATAATGCTAGCACATCCAACATAGTACTAAAGTTCATAATTGTTCAAATCAAAAGTTAAATCAAGACCAATATCAAAGCAAAAGCAAAAAGTAAACGAGAACGTGTCAGGATCCTTAATTGGGCTAGTAAGTGGCCTAATGGGTAGATTTTTCTTTGTGCAATATGAATTTAACGGGTACAAAGCTGCGATTGAAATGTTAAGAAACAAAAAACATATATAAACCCCATGCAAAGCGCCCTTGCACAGAGCACTTGTGAGGCGCAAAAAGACGTTGTTGCATCATACGTAGGTGCTTCATCACCGCCCTGCATCGCAAAGTGCATGGGGCGCAATGAGGCGTACACCTTTGATAACACTGAAGGATGTAATATAAATTTAATAGAAAATCTAATTGAATCTGAACAAGGTATCAACGTGGAATGTGAGTGAAACTTGAGTTAATAATGTGTTGAAGAAATACTCTGGGTATTAAAATGAAATGGAATTGGAAGTTTGGGGCATCTAAGTGTTAAGAAATACTTTGGGTATCAAAGTGAAAATCTGAATAAAATTTAAAGGTACCTAAATGAAAATAACCCTTTTAAGTTTTTAATGTTGCACTTGTAATAGAAGAGCAAATTAGGATAGCTAACAACAAAAATAATCTCAAGTTGATTGTACAAGAAATTTTGTGCGAGTATATATGTTTCGTTCCAACAGAAAACTCAGTCTAAGTTGGTCATACAAGACCATGGCTTCAAATACTATCCGAGTATGATGAAATCTACTCTTTTCAATATATGTAAGATGAGTAGGATCAAATAAAATTAGAGAATCAAATAAAATTAGAAAGTTTGTCCAACTCACCAGCAAATTTTCCACCATATATACTCTCACCACCTGTTCCTGAAATTCATTAAAAGAACATTCAAAATTAAAATCCAGCTAACAGTTCGCAACAAAAGATTGTTCTGAGCTACCAACTCCTCGCATGGAGAAGTACTCAACTTCAAGACCACAAGACTACAATAGTAATAGCACTCATTGTTATCGAGGCGCGCGCCCCAGGCGCGGGGCGCTGCGGGTTGGGACAATTGCGTCCCGCACATGAGGCGGGGCGTTGCACGCACACGAGGCATGCGCCTCGTGTGCGCATGACGCCTGCATCATGTGATAAACTCTACCTTCTGTTTTTTTAAATAATTTACATATTACATATTTACATCGTGTAATAGACTCTTTCTTGCTAGTTGCTAATCCATTCTCCATCTTTTCATGTTTAACCTATAAAAAAGAAACAATAATTAATAATTTAGTATACTTGTTTGCTAATTGTAACTTTCTTCTCTAATTAGCATGCTAACTAGAAAATTATAAACATGTAAATATGTAATTATTACCTCTATTCTCCATTTTTTTCATGCTAACTAGCAAATAACAATTAATGATGTTAACTAGAAAATTATGAACAATCATGTTCTTTTAATCACTTAATTGTTACTTGAAAATACATATATCATATTTTAAATGAAAATACATATTTCTTATTTGTTACTTGCTTGTTTCGTTTTATAGACTTTTGCTTATGTTGGATATTATATTGCATTGTGATTTGTGGAAACTTATGAATTTCTTTATGTTATGCATGGTAATTAAGACTCTTTCGTGATTTAGTAGGTGAAATTATATTTCTTGGTCTTTTATGTGATAATTTATAAACATGTTGCTTATATGCTTCTTTGTCTTATGCTGAAAACTATTAGTTTGAGTTGTGCACCTCAATTCAGTGAGACGCGCGCATCGTGATGCGCCTTGCGCATCGTGCGCGTAAGGAGCCTTTGCCCCCCGCATTGTGCCTTGCGCCTCGATAACAATGATAGCACTCCATATGAAAATAAACTATAAGCCGTAGGTGTTGAGAAATCTAAAACACCTCTAAGTACAAAACCAGAAGAACATAATGATATCTTTAGTCAATCATATTCTAACATAGAACATATTGATCACAAAGTTTAAATGGAAACATGCACTCAGAAAAATCTGCATTTATAAATCTCATGTCAGAAAGTTGTAGCCTCTTTTAGAAAGACAGCTTTCAAAGCCTAAGTAACCATCGATTTTTACTTTCAACTAAAAATGTACATAATAGATAAAAGCATTGATAATTTCTAAGCCATCAAGTGAGAGGAAATAGAAGCTCCACTTTAGTTTCATGTCTCTAAACCAATTTCAATAGTTTCTTCCTTGTCAAATCGTTTAGACAACAAGAGCAGCTACATGGGCATGAACTGACATACTAACTTTTATGCAGTTAGCTATGACAGTAAAAAGTATGGTTTGTACTGTAGAATATGATCTACAATCTGAATGTCCCTACAACAATACCACAGAAAGGTTTAGAATTCGAGTGAGAGGACCAAAAAGAGAATGTTAACCGCATGAAGATTAATGTATCACTAGCTCATTGCACTTCTCCATGATCATGTAGAACCCCATGTTGTCATTTTTCAAGAGACAGTTGAGATTGGTTTAAAGCGATACAATAATAACTCACTTGATGGCATAGTATTATCCTGGGTTACCCCGACACAGCTACCTGGGGGCCGTACCAGTGTCAGACCCGTTTGGGGTATGGCGGCGTACTCAAACGCGGTGGACACAGGTGGATTCTTAGGCCATCTGAGATTTGGTGATGAAGAAAGATGATGAAGAATATTACACTCCCCCTCTCTCTCCTCTCTATTTTTATTTATTTTTTTATTAACTTAGTGGAGTATGACATCATCCGTCACACATGGTGGTTTGATGAGAATGAGTTTTGATTTGTCTTTTCTGGATAAGGATAGTAGTCATCTCGGATCCTTAAGTATGGAGAAAAATAAAAAAGCCAATTGGCTCATTTTTAGTTACGGAGAATTTTAGTTTGTAGAAAGTCACCTGGCTACGTCAGTCATGCTACAGTGCACATATTGACTTCTCAATATGATAAGAGCCTTCAAGCAAGCACAAACCCAAAACAAAATAGCTCTTATAGACTGATCATACCAACTGAAGGAGTCAAATTTCTCATGCTCATGTGTCCTCATACCCTAACTTTTACAAATTTGCCATGTCCCACACCCGTACCCACACCAGCACCCGTACCCATATCTGTGAAACCTAGGAATTATCAATGCTTTATCTATTGTTTACATTTTAGTTGGAAATAAAACATAAATGGTAGTGGAGGAGGTTTTGCTGAAGGTCCGAGACAGCGGAGGAGGTTGGAGGATGTCTGAGGATGTGATGGAGGCAGTATCGGACAAAAAATCAAGACTGAGACCTAAATGGTGCAGTCCGTGTATGCAGCCCGCACTCCCCTAGGCGCTCCCAAGATCTAGGTACCACTTAGACCTAGGCAGACATCGAGACTGCTTTTTACAACACTGATCTAAACTAGATTCCTTTCCAACTCTGCATGCACATTGACAAGCCATGTAACTCTATATGGGAAACTGTAATAATTTGACTTCATATCTTCACAATATCAACAAAATATCCAAGTTCTAATCCTGGCGCCAAAAAATAAACCAAATTAACAAGCTCGCAGATCGGGCTTACCATCTCGCCTAGAAAAGTCACCACCCTGCAAAAGTTCAAATCAGCAATTAGAATCCTCAATTACAAGAGGATACATGCACAAAGTAAGGTAGGTTAAGATGAAGCATGGTAAAATATCAAGGACGTGCAACATATCAAATACAACCTTAATAAAGAAAAGGAGTCGTGATCGTCAGCTCTGCATCCTACAGCATAAAAAAGGGAAACTGACTAAAAGAAGAAGGCTAACACACCTAACTAATGTTACTTAAAAGTCTTTATATAGAGATGACCATTCATTCAACCGCCGCAATTCATATTGCAATGACATACCTGTGCCATGAACCCTTTGATTATGCGATGGAATATTGATCCCTTGTAATGCAGGAGCTTCCCAGTCGTACGTCCAATTCCCATTTCACCTGGAACAACATGATTAGAAATCAACAGAACAGTTGGACTCATTAACTTAACACACAACATTACGTAATTACTAATATTATATTATTATACATGTCAAACCCTGACTATGGCTATTGAAAAAACATAGAAGTAACAATATCCTCAAAAACATCAAAGAAAAACATGATGTCAAGGATAACATGTACAGAGGACTACCTGTTTGGAATGCCGTCGCTCCTAATGTACTTTTTATATGAATGTTTGGATTGCCATTCAACAAAATCTACCTTACTGAACAGATAGTTGTACTTGAGAAACAACTATAAAAAGAAACTAAGACTAAACATAATCAAATTAATCTCCATCAACCGCATAGATAGACAACTAACAATCTATGCAAGGAGTTTTCTAGACTGGAATCTTCTCACACATGAAAAATCCTACCAGGAGTGACAGACACTGCATATTGTTCCACATTTCTGCATCCCAGTCCACTCAATTCACAAGAATAGCTTCTTATTTTGCAAGAAACAAATAACTTTCTAATTCTATATGTGACATGCACATTTATTAATAGGAAATGTTGCAAATTTCTACACTCACCTTGGTTTAGGCACATCAAATTTAAGAAGCCAAGTCTCAACAAATTAAAACATCAAGATCTCAAACAAGATTAAAAAAACTCCAAGCTGGAACTGCAATAACAAGCAAATCCAACCTAATCTTAAAGAGTTGTTAAATGGCAGTTGTTGAACACATTGCAGTGAACTTAAAGCACACCACAGCAACAAGATACTCTATGCACCCCACATAAATGTAGTTTTAAAACCTAGTGAGCTAACATTTAACACACACTACTCTCTGTACCAAACAAGTATTTAATACAAAATCAAATCAAGTAGCTCTGACACATTCTTTCTGTCACATGTTAAGGATCCAAAAGCCCCAACACTACCTCAACAGGAATAAGCATCTAAATGAACTCCCAGGCTTGGAGTTGGGTATGTGTGTCCTATCGAAGATTCCTCATACCATTTCTTCCATCCCAACATTATCTATAAACATAGATCAGTATAACATATCAAAGAAGAAGAGCATAATACATGGGACAAAACAAAGGAGCCCGATAAGAGAATCCATGCAGAAGAAAAGAAGGAGGACAAGAGACTTTGATTTTGCGTAACAAATAGAACAAATGGAGGAACAACCTTCCAAAGACAATAGATGAGTTGGAGGAAGGAAAAAATAATGATGGCAAAATCCATAAGAAAATAATAGAAAGGATAAACCAAGTATTAATATTATTAAAATAGGATGGATTTTTATTTTGGGTTGGGTTACTAAGGGCTGTGTTTAAACCTCGAAGCTACGAAAATGAAGTGGAAAACAGAAGATGAGCAAAAACAAGAAGGTGCTCATTACCCCTTGATAACTGTAATCAGCCTTTTTAGTGATATTCCCTAACATATCCCTCCCATATCTTCAGTCTTGCAGACCAAGACATTGTATTTGGTTCCTTCACGTAGTTTGAACGTCATCTCGAACTAAAATTAAGAGTATTATGTATTGCCTTATTTGCTACATTTTCACTTATAAATATTTGCATCTACACAAATGAAAACATTCTAGTTACATAACCAAACAAAACATATGTAAACATCACTATACAGATTCAATTACAGAACGAAGTCAAACATAAATACCAGTATAAAGACTCAATTCCATTATTATTATTTATCAGTATCACACGATCATATAAATGTCTCAACTCCATTATTATTATTATGTATCCCAATCACACAATCATATAAAAGATCATAATGAAAATATGATGAATAGGAGACGCTCTTTATATTGAAATGCATTGTGTTGTCAAGTTTTAGTGCTATGTTTACAAACCTTATCTAAGTGAATGTTCATAAAAGCAATTGTGGGTCACGAGTCAACCATTAGATTAGGAAAGGTTTTATAGCTCTATATTACTTAAACAAGCTAAATTAAAAATATAGAAAGTCAATGGAAAATTAGAACCCCTAGTACACAACAGACAAGATATCACAACTAGATAAACATCGATAGCTACAACAAAATAAAAAATGATTGTTACCAGTACATAATGCACGGAAGTTCTCAGCAGTCTTGGGAACAACATCAGAAAAAAGCTGCAAGAAAAAGATGACTTTAATTTGCATTGAAGCAGAAACAATTTAACAAAGCTTCAGGAGCTATAAAGCAAAGGGTATGTGAGTTTATTTGTGAAGAAAAAGCAAAATCCAATCCTGTTGACCAACAACGATAGATGTGTATAAAATAGGGAATAGAGTACCACAAAAACCATCCTTCCCGGTGCACCGCCATTAATTGATACATCCATGAACACAATTGGGTTCTTTGGATTGGCCATTCTCGCTAATCCAGTCTGGTGAAAAGCTTCAACCTGAAAATTTGTGCGAAAACTCATCATATTCCATATTACATAAATAGATGTGTGTGTTTGTAATCCTCATTATACTGATTTGTGATTTTGGTTAATGGGTTACAGGTCAAGCCGAACCTCATTTAGCTCTTATAATCTTAAAGATAGCCATTAAGTTATTTTGGCTTACTATGAACACTCCCTAGTGCCAGTCAAGTTGGTTTCAAACATTCAAGAATTTACAAAGGTAAAGAATTCTCCGCCCACTGCCTCCCCTATTTATCATTCTCTTCTTATATCAATATGCCATATTTAAACACCATGGATTAGGTTTCTAACTCAATTAATTTTCCAAACAATCTTCTGGTCTAAAAAACTCAGAAACAAAAATAGCTACATGCTAAATTGATAAATTAAAATAAAAAATTGCATCGGATGATCAAATTCATGAATTCTACTAACAAATCAGCTTCGTTTAATCCAATCTCTAAACCCTAGCCAAATTCCACAAAACCGAACCATGATCAACACCCAACGCAATCAAAGAAGGACTAAATAAGAAGCCTAAAAAGCATATCTATAACAAATCAATCAAACAAAGCAAAATATTAGCGATAACTCACAGAAAATAGAGGGGAAACGAAACCCTAATTTTTTACCTGGGAGAAGACGCAGCTTAAGTTCAGGCTTTCAGCTCTTCGACTTTATATTAAACTCTTTAATTCGTTTTTTTCTGAAAAGTCCCTAACAAAAATGTTAATTACGGTAAATCCCTTGAGTTTGGAAAGGGACCGGAACGGCCGTGCGAGTGGTGGCAAGTGGGGATGCGTTTTTCGGGAATTTATTTGGGGAGAAGCTTCTTGATGTTTCTTACTGTGGACCTGATAATGGGCTTCAGGCCATAGACTTTTTGGCGAATTATTTATGTTTCGTTTGGATACCATGATGTTTTTCTTGTTGTGTTTTTATAAAAAAACATTATGGTGTTGTATTTTTTACTTAAAATATTTTTAAAATGTAATATTAATTATTGTTTATCAACACTAGTTTGACCCATTATAATATTAGTATTAAACATATCATCAATATATTATATAATAATTATAATAAAATATAGGGAAAAGTGAATCTAGGGTGACACCATATGCTCCCACCTAAGAACGCGGCCTAAAATCACATCATTCCCTAATATTTTTTTACGATCCGCTCCGTTGAACTTGATCTACACGTTCTTAAACTCAAACACACCAATTTTGGGGTGAACCCGTCGTGTTTTGACCATTCGTTGAGTCGTCCAAAAAGTTCTATTCATTCGAAACCGTTAAAATTACGGCGAGTGGATGAAGGGTCAAAACACGACGGGTTCACCCAAAAATTGGTGTGTTTTGGTTTAAGAACGTGTAAATCAAGTTTAACGGAGCGGATGGCAAAAAAAAAAGTTTAGGGAATGATGTGATTTTAGGCATCGTCCTTAGGCGGGAGCTTAGGGTGTCACCTTAGATTCACTTTTCCCTAAAATATATTATAAATAAAATGTTATAATATTTAGTTTATATTATTATATTATTATAAATATTAAATATAATGCAATATAATATTATATAATATATTATAATATTATATTATACTTTAATGAGTTATATTATATTATAATTATCATTATATTATAATTATCATTATATTATAATTATTACATATATATTTAATTATAAGTCTATGACATATCAATTTGTTATTGTTGTATATTATATTAATATTTTTATAATAATTTTATTTTATTATTAATATAATATTATACAATTAATTAATATTAATATCATATTATATTATATTATTATTAATATAATTAAATATTATTAATAATGTTATATTATGTTATTACTAGTATGTTATTAATAATTATATATTATAAATGCCTAAAATATTATATAATATAGTATAGTTTTTAATATGTTTTATTAATAGTACTGTTAATAATATATTTAGTATTTATGATATAATAAATATTATTATATTATGAATATATTATTTTTACATTAACATTTGTTAGCAATAAATTATTTTTGTTATTAAAAATTATTTTTGCTTTATAATAAATTATTTTATTTATTATATAATATATTAATATTTTATATATTATATTACATTTACTATACAATATATTATTATAATAATATTATTATATTGTTATTTTATTATAAAATATGTTACTATTATATAATATTTTATAATTATTAATTTATAATTATTAATTTATTAAATTTTTAATAACATTATAGCGATTATACTATTGTATAGTATATTATTATATTATTATTTTTTATCAATAATTTTTAAATTGTTTTATATTAGTTTATTTATAGTTTATTATTATTTACTATTATATAATACATTATTAACGTATTAAATACTAGTATTTAATATGTTATTATATTATTATATAAGATATTTTAATCATTATATTTTTATATTATTTAATAAATATTACTAATATATTAAATTAACTGTAATATAGTATAGTATAATATAACAAGCATGTTGATAATAACTCTATATTAATTACATTTAATATATTATGTTAGATATTACATTAACATCTTCTCAAACTCAAAACCAAAACAACAAACTTAAAACACCTAAAAGGTGTTTTGAAATAAGTGTTGTGTCTTTGGTTTGAGGATGATTTAGCTCAAAAAACACCATAGTTTTCAAACGTATGGTGTTTTATTTTTGACAAAAACATCATGGAAACAAGTAAAACACCATGGTATCCAAATAGAGCCTTACTTACTGCTAAGTGCTAGCGCTAATGTTTTGCAAAGCAAACGTGCCTGGTTAAGTGGGTTGGGCTAACTTCCTAAATTATATCAGTTTGATATGCACTAATGAATTACCTAGAATGAGGAAAACAAGATAATCAATCGTCTTTATGTAAATAATAAATAATGATACTTATACTATCCTCTCATACAGTATTTTCACACTATAAGAGAGAAGGATGGGCTTCCTTAAGGAGTCATCCAACTTTTTTCACACTTTTCTCTCTTATATAGTAGAAATAGTATAGTAATCACTAGTCGTGTAAAATAATCGTTATCTTTCATTAATGATTGGAACCATGGCTTGGATGCCTTTTCACTCTTAGTAATGACACAAATCAATCATGATAATCATTGATAATAATACCTAGAATAAGCATGTCTAGTTCTAAGTATAACTTTCACGATGATTTTCACCCTTTACCCAGGTTAACTCAGACAATTAACAATAGATCAGAGTCTAATACCACCACCCTGGCCAAAACAAAACACCCCCAACACACACACACACATACAAAAAACCCATCAGAAAGAATAAATGTACTACCTCAAATGAGTACCAAATAAAAATATTTCATCAATTACTGTAAACAATAAGGATATCGCTTATAATTTGGAAGCATATCTACCCTGCGTGAAAATTAAGTTGTCCAAGCAGAAATTTCGCTTCATCCTATTTACAAACTGAGTCACGTACTTCTTTAAATGATCCTTAACATGTAAATCAGAAATATCTCTTGCGATGATGGATAATTACTCAGTTAACAATAATGAAGAAGATGCACTCTAAACTTTTACTAACAGTTTATAAATGGTTTACAAACACATCCGGTAACAATTTATAAATGGTTTACAAATACATCCAGTAACAAAAGCTATATAACAGCGTGTGACATACAAAAGAGTTGTATTTTCTCTACTTTCAACAATTTTGATGATAATATAAAAAAAAAACAGTCCCTACATAATCTAAGCAGGCGGTGAATATGGTTGATGTCGTACAATGGCTGAAGTTGTATGATTGATTACTTAAATTAGCTTTCTCCTTTGCTTTGAAGCATTTTGTTGATGTTCCTTTTGATCATCTCCCTCGGGCTTTCTTCTCGAGATATTCAAATTCTCTTCAGCAGAAGGTTTCGATCCGTAGGCCACCCCCATCAGCCTCCTGCATTCCTTGCTAGCTGAACTATGATCGACCACTAAACAATCGAAAAAGATGCTGAAATTAGTAAATCATGTTATATTGATTACAACTGATGATCACAGGATTGTCTCCATCTTGCATGCAAGGTTTTAAATATCGGATATCGAGGAAATATCGGATGGCCAAAATTCATATCGGATTGCGGATATCGGGGAAATATCGGGGATATGTGGTAAATATCGGAATGCCATAATGAATGTTTGCATACATAGTATAATGCATTAAAATGTAATCTCAACATATCTAATGAAATTTAAGCATACAAAATATGAATAATATATGTTTAGGATCACTAATCAACCTTCTAAAACAAACAAAAGTGCAAAGCAACGTTACAACATTCGATCTGCTTTTTTTAGGGCAAAATGTCATTTGATAAAATGGGGAAATCTTGATATCTCGCCCAAAAATTCCAAACACGGTATATTACTTTGCAACAAGCTATATAAAAAGATATATTGGTCCACATATCGGCTAATATATCGGCCATATCGAGGATTTATCACTCAAAATAGCCAAAAAGCGGTAAAGGATATTTAAAGACCATATCGGTTGCGGCAAGCCCTGTAAAAGGATATATCGGGGGATATATCGGGCCATGTCGGGGATATTTAAAACAATGCTTGCATGATTATAATCTATGAAACATGGAAAAAGATAAGTACAGAAGCAGGTTTTATAGGTTATAAGTTATAACCAATGGTGCATTTGCAAGAAAACTCAACTAAGACCACCACAGATCACAAACTGCCTCAGCCTTCTACAATTCACTTCCTTCTAGAAAAATTACCACAATTCACTGTTTTTTGCTTCAATGTCGGTTGCTTAAGGACCACTGGCAAACTATTATGACGGGAATTTCGTCGCCAATTTTAAGGTTTCGTTTGATTCGATGTCATTCCAATTGCATTGTAAGCATCACTTGTATGCCACTACAGATGTTGCAATTATAGTCACAGTTGTTTGGTTCAACCTTTAAAACCTACAATTTCGACTTGCACTTGTTTGTTTTAGAACATTAGTTTTTTTTATGATTTATTTTTTTACTCTACTAGGGTTGATTGCAGTTAAGAGTTGTAATTTAGACCTCTTCAGCTTAAAATGGTTGCGGTCGCAACTTCCGGACGTGAGCATAGGCATCCAAAACAGAAAGAGAAGGAGTGGGAAAAGAAAGATAAGGAAACGGAACCTATCCAGGTAGCGAGGAATGACTAAAGTAGAGACAATGGCCCCAAGAAAGACGAGGGGGAGAGAGACAGACATGACCAAGATCCCCAGGGGAAAAGCCATGACTACCGCAACATAGGTTTTTCAGATACCTACTGCTATTCAAGTTGGTGCCAAAGACGAGAGAGTAGACCATACAGATCCAGATAGACACGAAAAGGAATCATCTTTTTGGTAACAAGATCTCTATTCCGTAGAGAAGATCGAAAGACAAGAATTGCATAAATAAAGAGATGCTCTAAATAGGTCTCTCTATAGATGCGATAAGAGACTGTGTGCGCGGGATGCCTATTGATGAGATAATTGGCAAGAGAGATCTGCGGCTGACCTTTTTTCCAGGTTTGCTTGCTGACTGAGCTGCTTTACATTTTGTTTTATTCGCATGGCACTCAATTGACTTTTTTTTTTGTGAAGCTATATATATATATATATATATATATATATATAGAGAGAGAGAGAGAGAGAGAGAGTGAGTGATTCTTATGTCAACTTAAGTGGACCATCTGTTGGGAAATATCCGGGGCTACGTTAAACCCCTAAAACAGCAAGAAACACAGTATAGAGAAAAGTATACCAAGATTTATGAGGTTCGGCAAACTTGCCTACGTATTTGGGAGCCATACAATTAATTTCTTATTAATCAAAGAAATTACAATGCAAGAGCAGATCTCAAACTTAAGATCTCTCAGTAAATGCAATACCAACACTATAGCTACAGTGTTAATTCCCTCTCTTTAAATTTTTCTCTTCTATTTAATTCTCCTCTTAACCCCCCCCCCCATCATCTTCACTGTTGAGAGGTAGGAGAGAGAGAGAGAAGAGAGAGAGCATCGAGAGGAGGCGAAGAGAGAGAGAGAGAACGCAGCCCCCTCCCCGCGGGACTGAAATCGTGAGGAGAGAGAGAAGAAAGAGGCACCGCGGCTTGAACTCTGCGTCGTTTTCCCTATTATAGGGAAAGCCCTAGCCATAGCTGCTGCGCAAGCCTGTCGCCAGCCATTCCTTCTCGAGCTCACCTGCGTTGGGGGTTCCTTCGAGCTCGCCTGACTGCACCTGTGCTCGCCTGTCCTAGATCGCACCCAGAGCTTCGCCTGCATAGGCCGGTCCGCGCCTCAACATCGAAAGCCCGCTTTACGCTCGCTCGAGCTCGCCTGCTGATGAGTCGCCTCGCCTGAAGCTTCGCGATCTCACCTGAACTTCGAGCTCGACCTCGCCTGAGTCGGAGCTCGAGCTCGCCGGACCTCGTCATCGACCTCGCCGGATCTTGCCTCGAGTTCGAGCTCATCGCTTGCAGGTTTGGTCTACACCCAAACTAACAATCTCCTACTTGGAGACCAAACCGCCGTATTCAACAAGCTATCTCAACAAGCACCTTCTCCTATGTGGCTCCGTCTTCATCACCTATGCATGAATGCCAACTGAAGTTGCGCACAACTTCGGTTTCTAAAAGGTCACTGTCTTTGTCAACATATCCGCTGGATTTTTACGTCCTTGGATCTTCTGTTGAAATCATTTGACAACACGTCGGGCTCTGTATCTTCCGGAACCATCATGTTCCTTTTTCACTCGATACACCCACTTATTGTGATGAGCCTTCTTCCCCATGAGCAACTCAACTAGTTACCATGTTTGGTTGGAGATCAGAGATTTCATCTCTTCTTTCATGGTAAGCTCCCACTTGCTCGCATCTCCACTCTGATAAGCTTCATCAAAGCTTTCAAGCTCCCCTCCATCTGTCAGCAACATATAATTTATGTATCTGCTGTTAGGCACTGGAGGACGAGAAGATCTTCTCAATATCGGAGCTGGTGCGTCGGGCTCCTACGTACCGTTCTGTCCAACAGGCTCTTCTGGCTGAGGACCTTCTGCATTAGGTTCTTTCGAGAGGTTACTCGAGACATCATTTGTATCTACAAATGTTGACTCGCTCTATGAGTTATCTGTCTTGTGCATATCCTTGTACATCACCTTCTCGTTGAATATCACATCTTTGCTCCTGATCACCTTCTTGTTTTCATTGTCCCAAATGCGGTAGCCGAACTCATCTTCATCATACCCGATGAATGTGCATTTCTTGGACTTGGGATCAAGCTTATTCCTGCCTTGATCACTAATATGCACATAAACTACACAGTCGAAAACTTTGAGATATGAGAGTTTTACCTCCTTTCCGCACCATACCTCCTTTGGTATTCTGTGCTCCAATGGAACCGATGGACCTCGGTTGATCAAGTAAGCTGCAGTGTTGACTGCTTTTGCCCAAAACTGCTTCGGTAGACCTGACTGCATTCGAATGTTTCTGGCTCTCTCTGTCAACATTCTATTTATACGCTCAGCCACACCATTGTGTTGAGGCCTGTAGGGCACGGTTCTCTCCATTCTGATCCTGTGCTCATAGCAAAACTTTTTGAATCTGGTGTCTTCATACTCACCATCATTGTCTGTTCTGAGTTTATTTACTTCTGACTTATGCTTCAGAAAGTAGACCCATACTTTCCGAGAGTGATCATCGATAAAAGTCACGAATTAGTGTTTCCCACCAATGGGTGCAGTGGTGGTTGGTCCCTAAACATCTGAATGAACGAGCTCTAACTTCTCTTTCTTAGGGGTTCTGCCACTTGTCTGAAAGCTGACCTCTTCTGCTTTCCAAGTATGCATTCTTAACACATATCAACCTCTACTGATTGTAAACTTGGGAGTTTTCCCTTTGTGTGCATAATCTTCATCCCCTTTTCACTCATATGACCGAGTCTCTAGTGCTATAACTTTGAAGTCTCATTGTCTGCTGCAACTGAGATCAAACAACGTGCACCTGCTGTCATATACAGGGTACCGGTCTTCCTGCCTCGAGCAATTTTCATTGCGCTTTTTGAAATCCTCCAATCATCACTATGGAAAGTCATAGTGTAGCCTTCACTAGCCAACTGACTTACTGAGATTAAGTTCTTTTTCAGATCGAGAATATGTCTGACATCCTTCAGCTCCCATACTGACATGTTTAACTTTATCTTCACTACTGTTTTGGGAGAAAGTTGATGTCTTCATTGATGTATTCATTACAACTTCAGTCGTTACAATAAAAACAAAAAAGATAGTCTTTTTATAAGACTCTTACACAATGAAAACGAAAAAAATACAACTCTCGTCAAAACAAACGCAACGGACGTTTATCCTCCGCTGCTTGCGTGAGATCTTGGCCTGTGACGGGGATGTTGATATCCGTGGACTACCAAACGATCAGATCCTTGCGTGAGATCTTGGCCTGTGACGGGGATGTTGATATCCGTGGACTACCAAACGATCAGATCAGATCTGGAGCTTCGTTGATTCGCGAAGGAATCAAGAAATCGAAGCAATTATCTCGGCAACAGCGAGATAATCACTCTTCTCGAGATCACCGCAACGGGGTAATCTCAAGGGAAGGAATCATGAACTGTAGATCTGACGAGCTCCTCTTCTTTATGCTGACGAACTCGATCCGATCTCATCCTCTCTTCTGAAATTTGTGCTCCTTCAGTCTTCAATTCAGCAGGGCTTCGTCGACGCTCGAGAATTTCAGATCCGAAAAAATGAAGGCCCTGAGGCTATATTTATAGGTTTTGGGACCTCTGTTTTTGGATAAGAACGATCGATTCACTCTTATATTCAGTTATAACCACTTTATCATGTTCTTGGATAGATTCAGATCAGTTGGAACAAATCCAGGTGGTTAATCATTGAAAAACAGCTTAAAACTGCCAAAAATCGATTTTCGGGGGTGTGGACACTCGT